CCCTGCGGGCGGGTGAGGAACGCCCCGCCGGCGGCCGAGGCCTCGCCTGTGGGCCCCGGCCCAGCTCCGCCGTTGCCGTTGGGACCGCGGAGGGAGACAATCGGGACGTCCTCGAGGGGCTCCCTCCCCGGCTTCTGTCCAGCGGAGCAGTTTCTCTGCCCGCATCCAAGCACCACCCTCGATGCACACCCCTGATAGGATCGCCTTGCTCGGCCGGGCAGCTTGGTCTGCAGCACCGCGAAGCTGTCCAATGGCCTGCTGAATCCGTGCTGCTGTCGCTTTGTGTTTCAAAGATAAGGATCCACGCTTATCGGTGGGAATTACACTGGGCAGTGGTGACCTGCCGCTGCACCCAGCGGGTACTAAGGTTTGGTTTCCACTTGCCATGTCACTTTGCAGCTTTACAAAGATTTCTTCTGCCTCCTGTGATCTTGCCTGAGCTGCAAAGGAGAATGTCCAAACAGTGTCTTTTATTTATTTATTTATTTTCCCTACATGTTCAGATCCTGGTCAGCTTCTTCGGTATCAGTACTCAAATCCATATTCCAGTCTTTTTGTCCTCTACCACCCCGCTTCCCCTCCTCCCTCTTCAGCTGCTGTTATTACGTGGAGTTTGGAACCTAAGCTTTGAAAACTCTCATATGGCGCCTGTCTAAAGTCGGAGCGTGCTTAGTAGCCAAAACAGATTTTGGTTGCAAAAAGAACTGGGGCGAAGACAGTCGGGGCATTTGGAGATTTTTCTCAGCTTTTAACCAAATGCTTCAATTCAGATTTTGAGACGGAGGGTAGAGCCTAGACCAGCCTGGAGGTGAGGCATGCCCTCCCCTAAGCCAGATCTTTATCTTGATTGTAAAGACAATGTTTCTTGACCAGCTGGAGGTTGGGGGGAGGGGGCGAATGGGGGGAGCATTCCTGGCTGCTTTAGCGTTTAAAATGGGTGTGGTGCTAAGTATATCTTGTTTCCCTTATCTTTGTGTGGAAAAAAGTTTTGCAGTCTAGTTGGGTTTGTCACCTTATGCCAGTTGCTTAGCACTACCAAAAATGTTCTTATCTAGCGACAGAGACTGGATGGGTCGTGCTTGTGGCTTGGTCTCACTGACGTCCAGAAAAGAAGGCACAAGTGTAATTCTTTAAGAAATAGAGTACTTGAATTGCCTTAGAGTAGCTGAATTTCAGCTGAGTGAGTTCATTTTAAATTTTAATTTGAAAGCTGAAAGGCTGAACATTTTAGTCCAGTAGATTTAGTAACGTTTCAAATATCTTTTTGCTGGATGCCAGTGTAGTAGTGTGCGATGAGGAAAACAGTACCCTGAATATGACAGTTTCACGTTTACTGATCTGAGTATCATTATGAAATTTGCATGTTCCAGATTCTCCAAGTAAAGATTTGTTTGCAGATCGCTAACAAATTATATTATTTCTTTTACTTTTTTTGGTAATTTTTTCTCAAGTTGAATCCTCAAGTAGTCTGAATACAAAGCATCTCAGAAGACAGGTTAGAAAAATCTAACCTTCGTGCTACACTTGATTGTATACATATTACATAAGTATATAATGTGCATATTACACTTGATCTTAGGCAGAAGGCCGAGAAGGATGAAGATTCTCCCTATTCTAGTTAGGTTTTTTTATATCTAATTTTTGTTGATGATTGTGTGCATAATCACTGTAACATCCTGCTTTCCTTCCCTCTCTACATTGCTATCCTCTCAGTCAGTTCTTTCCATGTAACTGCTGTTATCACAGAAGCGTATTAGTACATCTCTGTTTTTCTGTCGTTTGCAGATAATAGCAGAAATAAGCAGTAAAAGTTAGATGAACCTTTCTGACTTTTCCTATTGAATTTTAAATGCATCCCTATGATGTCTAGTTAAAAGGAGGAAGAGATCAATGAACTGAAAAAAGAATAAAATATTTTTGTAGGTTCTGTACAGATCTAGTAGTATTATCTGCTTGTCTGGTTCACTGTGGTAGGCGCCAGAGAAATGGGTAGATTGATAGATGTTGCATTTCTTTTCCCTCTGGCAAAGTCAGCTATTAATTTCGGTGGGAGACTGGCAGAATGTTGTTCCTAATGAGGTTTGAATCAGATTGTTGTTTACTGTCGGTTATGTAATGTGTTGCTGAGAGTGTTATTAAAAGTTGCTTTCTGTAGCAAGGTAGAGAGGCAAGTAAATGCTGCTTACCCTCTTCACTTGGTTTTAATTCTTGGCTGAACCTGAAGGCACATTAGACTACAACCATAATTACACCTGGGCAGCCTGTTTCCTGTTTTCATCATGAACCCAAACATTATGATTTGCAGTGATGATCTTTTTAGTCTTTTGCGTTCAACAGAGGCCATGTGTTTTTCCTCTCTACTGAAAACAGATTTGTACCGTGGTCAAATCAAAGATTTTAATGTTTTGAAGGCTAGGTAGTAAAATACCACTTTTTATTTCTTAGTAACTTATATTATTGAAATGCTGTATAAAAATCTATTTCATATATTTTCTTTAATAGTGTTTTATGTAAATTTTAATATTACCAGTAGCTTGTAGAGCCTTTGAATTAAGAAAGTCTTTTATTTATGACTTATCAGTGTTTATTATTACCAGCTGTATATGTTGGTTTAGGCAGTGAGCCCCACATTTATGTGAATTTCTGAGCTGACTTGAATACACTTTCAGATATAGGTGCCTTTTATCCTCTGGCTTATCAGTATTCTATGTTCTATTTCTAGAGCGTCCGTGTTCCTACTCTTTTTCTTGTGTTTGGTAAAAAGCACAAAGATAAACCAAAATGCTATATTTCTTCAGATGTTGCAGGCAGTTTATATTAGTTTACTCATAAGGACAAAGACATTAGAAAAGATTCTCTTTTTTAAGGGACAGTAATAGCTTGAGTAATGAGTCTTATCTCCAGTAGTCTGAATATTTTGGAGAAAAGAGTACCTGGGAGGGTAGGACCAAAGAAAGCTGGGGTGTACAGATGCAGGGTGCTTTCCCACCAAAAGATGATGCAGGACCCATGGAACTGATGTCTATCCTTTTACACATTCTTTTGGAAGGAAACATTCTGTATTAAGACATTTTTCTGTGAAACTGTAATTTTAATTCACTTTTGGAAGGTAGTTATTAATGTACATTTTTAAAATAGGCTTTGTTCTTGAGTCCTTCCAGACTCCAGTCTTTGCTTGTAACATGTCTGTAATTTAGAGATTGACACTCTATAGGAAATTAAAAGTGGTTTGATCTGTTGGTAGTGATACATTAGGTGGATTTCCCCTTTTGATTTCCATACATGTTGTTTTGTTACACCGAAAACAGTAGAAAAATATCCAGTATCACCTTTCTGCCTTTCTCTGAGCATACCAACTGTTGGATTGGGAAGAGGCTTACATTTTTCACGTTTAGCCATGATCTCAGAATATGGCTGGTGTTTTCAAGGCAAGTTTTGTTTTGTTCAGTTTGTTTTCATGATTGGTTGGGATCTGCCTACCATCCTATCTGGTAGGCTGTATAACTTGAGATCTAGTTATTCTGGTTTTTGTGTTCCCAGTAAGAGAGGGTACTGTAGAAATATGTCAAAGCCAGTCTTCTTTTTCTCCCGCTTATTCACATCTTCTTGCCCTTGTAGGTGTGTGTTTAGTTAACTCATTGACCATTTTCCACTCTTTGGATTTGAGTATAAATTAGGTAAATAATGCCTTGAGCTGAAAAGGTGCTCAGAGCTATATTTACCCTTTTCTTCTAAGTAGGGGCACATGAGGTAACTGAAGAACATATTAACAGTACATTGGAATATATATATATTGTGTGTTCAGGTTAGGTCTTTGTGCTCCAGTGACACATTTTAAAGTAATGGTTTGGAATTTGCATTTTGATAATTTTGTAATTTAAAGTGAAGCACTGTGAAGATTGATCAACTCTTTGTCTGGTCCTGTGCCTACAAGCTAGTACAAGCATGCTCAGATACTTAAGGCAGTGTTGTAGGAAATCTTGCAGGCTCTGTGGGGGTGAGTGATACATCTAGATCAGGCACTGCTTCATTAAAGGACTTAGAGGAGCAGATAAAGCTTAAAGAGTGGTTAAAAACTGGTAAATGAAAGTCTGAATATGGGAGATGAAAAAAATGGACACAGAATATGGGAGATTCTGATGTGAGAAGTGTCAGGTATCTTGAGTTCAGCTCATGGATGGCTTTAAAATCCACCATGAAAACTTCTGATGTCTTTAGAATTTGGGGCTCACAATTGGGAAAAATGGTAACGTAAGTATTTCTCTAGGAAGATCATTTGGATGCCCATGTGATTGTATCCTCTCTTCCTTATAGATATACCCGTGAAGAATAGGATGTATGCATCCAGAGAGCTGTGGGCAAATTCGCTTTCAATTTCTGTTTCTTATCTGGCTGCATTCTTGGGTTTGGCTTACAAATTCTGTAGTAATATATAATAAATATACCTGGATTTAGAATTGTTATGACAGAGGTAGTGGGTGTCTATTCTTCCTGACTACTATTGATACTAGCATCACAAGAAAAGAGATTTTTTTTTTTAAGATTTACCCTCACTAACTCCCTAGAAATTTACCTTTGAGAATATTTTCTCTGTACCTACCTGCCTACCTACCTATCTGTGTGTGCATATATGCAAGTGGATTTTTTCCATTGTAGATGATACTGGGCTTCTCTGTTCCCAAACCTACTGCAGAACTTGAGATTCCTGTTGAAAATGTGAGAAATAAGGTGCTACTTCCTAGGCTAATGAATCTGGATCATTAGGAATGG